CGCAGCAAGTGTACACATATTATAAGAAATACTCTATTTTTTTTTTACTTTGAAAAACTTTAAAACATATATAGTTTATTATTAGACGAATCGGATGGCATTTCTGTATTGAAAGTATTTGGTGTGTGTATTATATATTACAGCAACATTAAACAAAAGTAGTCCCTACATATCTTGGACTAGTTCAATTGAAAAACTGTGAGGCGGAAAGTATAGTTCAGGAACTGAAGAAACGTTTAATCAGCAAACAATTAGACTTAAAGAATTTGGATGCTATTGGTACAGATAATGCCTGGGTGATAGTTGGTAACAACAATGGCGTTTGTGCCAAATTGAAGGAAGATGTCCCACCTTTAATCCTTATACAATGTATGTGTCATTCCTTGCAGCTAGCATTATCACATGTTTCATCTGAGAATTGTAAACCAATGATAGGAGTTGAAGACACGTTTCGAAATAAAGAGACAAAGTGAAAGGTGCTACACAGCTGAAATACTATATGGAATGTAAAGTCATGTAAAAGATTTGGCACCCCTTATCTTTTCACAACCTATTCTAAAAAGTTAATAAACTGTTCGATTTTAAACATGTTGATAAAGTTAAATTATTTGACGATCTCACTTTGCTATTTCACTTAGTTGGTAAAAGACTGGTGTTGCCAACTTCTAATGCTAATTTGCTCAATTGCACTATATAGAGCTATTTAGCTCCTAAGCCAATTGATGATTTAAAAACAAAAGGGTTGTTAACAAGAAATGAAGAGAACAGCTAAAGAAAACTCTGTCAAGATTTCCTCATCTCACTTTTCAAGCAACTGAAGCAGATACTTCCTGAATGAATATTTCATTCTTTTCTGTGAGCAACATACTTTAGCCAGTAAAGGACATACCTAAATATTGTAACGTTATGAAATTTTTAGGGGCTACTGATAATAGTGTGTTGGAAGTAGAATATTAATTAACCAAAATAAATTTGGTTGACTGGACAAACAAAACAGAAACTGAAGCGTTTTGGAGTGAAGTGATTGAGACAATTTAAAGATGCCTCAGGAAACAACCCATACTGTAATGATCATTTGTGGGGATTTTAATAGCCATTCCCAAAGTTGGGGCTACGATCCTATGGACCAGAGAGGAGAGAAACTAGAGGACTGGCAGGATGAGAATAGGTTCATCCTCGTAAATAAGCCAACCGACCCACCAACCTTCTACTCTAGAGCATGGCATACCACCTCGACACCAGACCTAGCCTTTCACTCAGCAGACATGGAACTGAATGTTACCAGAACTGTTGGGAAGCAACTAGGAGGCAGTGACCACCGGCCAGTCTTTCTAACTATCGAAAGCCAGTCTGTAAGAGAGAGAGCAGCACACTGCCAAGGTGGAATTTTAAAAAGGCAGACTGGAAGTTATATCAGCTTCGCACAAATGTTCTGCTGGAAAATCTTAACACAGATAACGACGTAGAAAAAGTAGTCCAAGAGTTGAGCAAACACATACTGAAGGCAGTCCTAGAAGCAGTTCCAAGAGGTGCGCGTAAACAATACAAACCGTACTGGAATTGCGATCTGGAGCAACTGCACAACAATATGGAAACAGAAAGAAAACAGGCTGAGACCAGACCTTGTCAAGAGCAGTTTAACAACTACCAACATTCAAAGGCCAAATTTCAAAGAGCCAAACTGCAGGCTAGACGGAGAAGCTGGCAGGAAAAGACAAAGTCACTAAACTTTGAAAGAGACACAAGGAATTTGTGGAGGTTAATTAAGCAAATTAATGATGAGAATACAGGGAGAAATGGTTATATTGCACTGTGCAAAGAGGGAGCCATCCTAACAAGAAAACAGGCAGCTGACCACTTTGCAGATTCCTTTGCAGAAGACAGCAATATTAATGTCAGCCCAGAGAAACAGCGAGAGGTTCAAGAAAACAAACAACATACAAGACAAAAAGATATAATTCCTGAGGCACTGGTGGCAGCATTTACATCCAGCGAGTTAGAATTAACAATATCAAAGCTGGGAATGGGAAAATCACCTGGAACTGATGGAATCATCAACGAAATGATCAAGAACCTTGGAACAACTGCCAAAATAAAGCTGCTACAGATCTTTAATCATTGTTGGACCAGTGGCAAAGTTCCTCAAATATGGAGAGAAGCAATCACAATACCTCTGCTTAAACCAGGAAAGGACAGTTCTGATGCCTCCAGCTATAGACCGATCAGTCTTACCAGCTGCCTCTGTAAAACAATGGAACGTATTGTCAACCTTAGACTCCAATGGTACTTTGGAAAGTGAAAACATTTTCACGCCGCAGCAGGCAGGATTTTAGGACAGTGCTACTCCACAGAAGACCAGACAACTTACCTTTCACAAGAAATTGAGGATGCCTTCCAGGAAAAGAAGCTAGTGCTAACGGCATGGATAGATCTGAAGAAAGCCTTTGACAAGGTCTGGAAAGAAGGTCTACTGAAGAAACTGAGAGACTGCAGGGTGAATGGGAGTATGTACAAATGGGGTCAAAGCATACTTGTATAACAGAAGATCCCGAGTACAGATAGATGGACTTAAGAGCAAGAAAGTTTTGCTGCGCCATGGCGTCCCACAAGGAGGTGTCCTGTCCCCCCACACTCTTCCTAGTCTATATCAACGACCTGCTTTCTGAACTACCCCATGGAATTAAAGCTGCAATGTATGCTGATGACTTGGTACTCTGGTGTACAAATGAAAATGCGACAGTGGCCACCAGACTGCTACAAAGAGCCATAGATGCAATGGCTAAATGGGCCGACAAATGGTGTGTCAGCATCAACATAGGCAAATGCAGCACCACTCTCTTTACCCTTTCTCCTAAACAAAAATCAGGCGCCATGCACATAAATGGAGTACCCCTGAGAGAGGATAAGGAGCCCACATACCTCGGCGTAACGTTTGATGATAGATTAACATGGAGAAAACACATCAACAAGGCAGCAACCAAAGCCAGAAGGAGGGTAGCCATTCTGAGAAAACTAAGTGGAACCACATGGGGTGCTAGCGGGAAAATACTTAGAAAAGTTTACCAACAAAGTGTTCGACCACATCTTGAATACGGATCAACAGCATGGAGTTCGGCATCAAAAACCACATTGCAAGAATTAGACAAAGTGCAAAATCAAGCACTCAGAGTTACCACAGGCAGTTTGAAATCAACACCTATAGCTGTGATGGAGAAAATGGGGGATGACCCAAGCACTAAGTGAACGCAGAGACACCAAGATGCTTTTACAAGCAGAAAAGTTTCTTAGTATGCCCAGTCACCCTATGAATGAAAGATTCCAAAATTTAGCTTTGGGACGACTAAAGAGAAGTAGTTTTATCCACCAGGCCAAACGGCTCGGCAGACAAACCACTGATTTACCTGCAACTGATAGATCCTTAAATGCTGTCCCAGAAACGGACCCCTGGAGAGAGGAGTATAAGTTTCCAATACACATCAAGACTGAAGTGAAAGGGGTATTTGACAAGGAAGAACAAAACAGTGTGCAGCGCAAAAACAGCCACCCTCAGTTTACTTGATGATGAATACCCGCAGAACCTTTGGGTCCGTGTTTACACAGATGGGTCAGCAGAAAGCGCAGTCAGAAACGGAGGTGCGTGGAGTGTACATTGAGTATCCTAATAATACACACGGATACAGCCAAATTACCAACGGGAAAGCACTGTCACAACTATGATGCAGAAGTTCAAGTCATCAAGATAGCTTGGCAGAGAAACTACTAAATACAGGGTATTTTCATAAACCAGTGGTATTCCTGACAGATGCAAAAGCAGTACTTCAGTCACTCCAGTCTGGAGAATTACCAAAGCATACGGGACACTATTATCCGAACTAGGCAACCTCTGTAAATTAGTAATGCAGTGGATACCTTCCCCACTGTGGAGTTCCCGGGAAACGAAAAAGCTGATAAACTAGCTAAGGAAGGTGCAACTGAAGAACAACCTAACATACCAGTCTCTTATCAACAGAAGAAGAGAATGATCAATCAATCAGAATGCCACCGAAACTGGCACAAGATGATTACCATAATTATGGACAGCACCAGAGAAGTTATTATCCTTCGCTTAGAAAACAGGGCACAATAGACTTCGCTCCCACATGTACAACAAATTTAAGATTGGCCAATCGCCATGTGTACTTGTGGACTGGCACCTGAAAAAAAAACAACACAGATCACATCCTTCAAGACTGTCCCATATTCAACGCTTTCAGGCAAAAACATTTGGCCAAAAGAGACACTTGTGGAAGTCAAACTTTACGGGCCGCTTAGTGAATTACAAAAGACAGTGAAATTCATACAAGAGACGGCTTTGCAGATATAGACAATTTATTTCATGCGAACGAAAGAAGAAGAAGAAGAACCCATACTGTAAGCTCTTTAAATGTGCCATGGCTGACACGATACTACCCCATTTAAATGCTGACGTAGAAAGAGTTTTTAGTGCTACAATTTATATCAAATCTAACTTAAGAAATAAAATAAGACTTGACCTCTTAAATGTTATCTTGACAGTGAAATTTGGCCTGATGAGAGTAGGAAAATCTTTAAAACTTAGGAAAAACTTATCAGCTCCCTGACTGTGTATTAAAATAATTTAGAACAGCTAAAGCATACCAGAGTCATTTTGGATCTGAAGCTATAACTTCATCATCCAAGCTAAGTTTATCCTGTGAATCTTGTGAGGCAGACATCAGTGAGATGAGGACATGATTCTTTAGGGTAATTCATATCAATAGCCATGTAATTTGTGACTATCCCCATTTGGATGTTTTTCTAGATGTTTGCAGCTCAAATCTAGATATTTATAGATATTTTTTTACCCGTTTCTGGATTTTTTCTGTCAAAGAAAAGTGGCAACACTGGCTGACAGGGCGTGGTTACGGCTCACGGGATCTTGCCGTCTTTACTCTTGATTCCTCACATGGCATTTAGTAGGAATTTTTTCTTGTGGGTAGCCGATGGCTTCTGTCTTGTCGCTGCCGATTGAGCAGCAGAGGAAAGTCGCTGCTGTTGTTGGAGCCTGTGTCGCAGATGCTGCAGGTACAAGAATGTTACTTCCGGTTAAAATGGACGCTAGACAGCGGCGCTGTTCGGAGCGGAGGCAAATTTTTTGCTTCTGCCGGACGGTGGCCGAAGTATTTTTGCTCCATTTGTAGACTGGATATAGTTTCGTCGCCCAGCTTCTGAGTTGAATGCATGGCGTGACCCTGTGAGCTGCGGATTGCATTTTTGAATGTTTTTTTCGACTGTGACCAAACGTGGTGTGAATTGTAGATTCAGAAAATGGGCGCGATGCCGGTCGTGCAATGCTGGCGGGACCCGTATTAAAATTGATCGCCCGGGCAACTGCTGATCTGTTGACGACGAGTTCTGCTATCATCAACGATGAACTACATTTCTAATGTTGGACTGTTTGTGTTAGCACTTCGGATGGCTACCATATGCGTTAATGCGAGTGTATGCTAGATATGCTGAGACAGCAGTCTGTCAATCTTTCCACAAGGGACTGTGATAAACATTCTGGGTGTTTTTCGCTGGCACAGGAGCGGAGCAAAGATGGGGCGACCCGTTTGCTATGAAGCTGAAACTAAGACTACCAGACTACCAGACAAGAATGTTACATTTCAATTAATTTATGTCTGAATAATCTAAAAACGGATTGAAACCTTAAAAATTTGTCAGCCTTACATAACCAGCTACATCATTTACAGTAGAGACTGCCAGTGCAAACTATCAGTTTGTTTATCTTAATAATGAGAAATAGGGGTTCTCGCTTTTGTGATAATCATAGCCATTTCGTGGTAGTCGGCGCCGGATGCTTGTAACTCGAGTCCATTAAGACCATCACCCCAGTTTATTTGGAAGGAAAGTGCCCCCCCCCCCCCCCCATCCCCGCAAAAAAAATTATAGAAATTTCCTTTTAAGAATATTTAAACATTTCATATTATTTCAAGTGTAGCAATATATTTATTTGCCTTTTGGCATGTTGAAAATTGGATTAAAAAATGAATAATAATAAGGGGCGTTCTACCTCCTTTACATAATTATTAGCTATTCTTTGGCGGAGGGGACCTGACCCCCTCCCCCCCCCCCCCCACCACACACACACCTATTATGGTTTGTGAACTAATATCTTAACAAAAGTCGTATTTTCCTCGTGGTGGTCATGTGCTTACAGCAGGATTACACATCAACTTGAAGTCCAAAAACCAAATCAGTTACTTTGAAATCATATCTGTCCAAAGGTTTGCAAATAAAATCCTTTTTTTTTTTTTTGGGTGTGTGAATAGTTTACCTGAACATTCTGGCGTGATGCTGACCATATCACCCATCTTGTGCCGATTGGTCTATAAAAATATAGGTCTAGCCCTATACGCCCAAAGTGGTTCTTTTTTTTATCTGAACATTAATACTAGTAAATAATGACAACATTCACATTACTTCTTCAGTTATAAACTCACAAGTGCATCATCAGTGCCTGAGTTAAACTAGAATTCTGAGACTATGAAAATAATGTTCATCTCATTGTCCATAGTGCGCGGCACTGGTAGTCATTTTCATCCACAACCTTCTGTCTTGTGTAGTTTGTTCTGACATTTTCTTCTATGCAATGATATTGAATTGTCTGTCGATCTCCCTCTGTCTCTTTTCCCCTCTAAACTTCCCACCATCATTATATACTCCAGTTTTCAACTCCTCATGACGAGACCAAAGAATGTAGATTGTCTCCTTCTGATGTGCACAATCAGTTCTCTTCATAAATCAGATTCTTTCAAGACATCTTCATTACTCCTTTTATCTGTCTAGGATATTCCCATCATCTGTGTACAAAACCAGATCTCCTTATAAAGTTCAAATAACTTTAATAGATATTATAATGCACTGGCTGGAGTTTGTAAAAATGAGCTAGCAAGAAGCATGTCATTGTTTTTTCAGAAGGCGTAAACATTGCAGCAAGTATTTTCATAGACCAGTCAGCTCTTGATCTTTGATGTTGTCATCATCATGTCTGCCATATTTACTTCCCATGAAACTTCCTGGAACCCATTCTAGGTCTTAATCATCCTGAATTTTAAAAAGTTAGTAGCGTATCCTTTACAGGACGTTACAGAACCAACCTTAGCATTATTTGGCTGTTAGTGTATTTCTAATCAAATTATACGTTCAGTAGTTTGCCATTGCCTTCTAAACAGTCAGCTCTCAGTTCCATCGTCAAAACCAATGCAAGACAAACAGTTTGCAGCTGGGATCGAACCCAGCCTTACAAAGCGTGAATGCAATGCTTAAGCTACAGGTGCCATTATTCTGAGAGCCAAGATCAATAAGAAATACTCCATCCTCGAACGAATTCAAGCAAATGAGTTAAAACTGAGCTTTTTTATTCATTTCTTTTGTTTTTTACGCACCCCTCTGCAATTGGATCTCAAAGATGGGGAAATTTTACTCAAATGACAGGGAAAAGGGGGGGGGAGCCCGGAGTTCGCCGGGGGAAAATTGCCAAAACCCGTTTTATAGAATCGACAATGGAAAAAAAAAACTTTCTATGGGGACCAAGGGTTTTGGTTTTTGCTCAAGTCACTTTTTGGGAAAACGAAAAGGTTTCAATGTTTAAGCCCGGTTTAAAATTGTATTAAGTTATTATATTTTCAGGTTTTTCTGCCCAAAAAATGATATTCCTGCAATTTTTCTTTTTGGGATAAAAAAAATTTTTATTTGGGTTTAAAAACTATTTTAAACTGTGCCTTCCCCCCTTTTTCTTTTATTGGGCCCGAAATAAGTTTTATGTCTGGCCCAAAGTTGTCGTCTATTAAAAATTTTTCTGCAAATTGGGTTTATTGGTGTCCCAAAAGTTTAAATTTCCCCCTTTTGTTCTTTTTTTTTCCCGGGGGGGGGGGGGGGGGGGGGGGGGGCATACACCTAAAAAATTTTAAAAAGGGCTTTTTTTAAAAAACCCTTTTTCAAAAGTCGCAGAAAAGTTTAAAAATTTGTAAATTTTTTGTATACATTTAAAAATTTTTTAAAAACATTTAAAAAAAAAAAAAATAAAACCCCCCGTGTAATTTAGAAATTTGAATCAAAACAAAAAACCAAAAATAAAAGAAGGGTAATTTTTAAATTGTTTCCTCAAAGCTGCCCAAAAAAAAGGGGGAACCCAAAAAATTTTAAGCGCAAAGTAAAGGGAGTATACGAAAAAGCCCCCCCCCAGAAAAACGGGGGGGGGACCAGGTCGGGGGGGAATTAATTTCAGAAGGGATCCAAGAAAGGGGAGAAGTGGGTGTTAAATAGCTTACTCTAATTTTAATATCCAGATTGGGAAAGAAAGAAGGTCCCAGCTGAGTGGCAACAGGCATATAAATACCGTATAGAAAAGAAAGGTAATAGAGACAGAGAATGGTGAAGCATGCAGAGGATATATCACTACGCAGTCACGTAGGAAAAGACGAACAAATTACTAGCACTAGAGAGTAGGACCCATAGTGTAACAACAGACTGGGTGCATCACCAGTTCGGGTTCTCGTGAAAAGGCAGTCAGAGGATGCCACAGATGCATTATTCACTCCTCGAGGCAAGTGCTGTGAGAATAGCCATTGAGTTATAAATACCAATACAGACGATTGTTGAGTTGTAGATCAGGGACAAAAGACGCTTTGATAGAGTTGAGAAAAGAAAGCAAAGCACTTTGTGGTCTTTGAGTTCTTGAGAACTACAGGGTAAAAACAAGTACACATTACTAGAGAACATCAATAGCATGTACACCACACAAGCCAAAGTGCAGTAAAAACACAAGAAGGCATATCAGATATGTTCACAGTCAACACAGGTGTGAGACAAGGATATGTGCCTTTCCCCACTTTTATTTAACATCTATATAGACAGAATATCTAAAGAAGCAAGTTATGATACATAGACCTTTATAATCATGAGGAAGTACACACATCAGGAGAAGTAATCGATTCACCAACATTAAACGAACTACTATTTGCTGACGACCAGTGTTTGTTCTGTCCTGAAGAAGATAGACTGCAAGACCACATCAACAGGTTAAACTCAGCATGCAGTAAATACAACATGAAGATCAATGTAAACAAAACCAAAACAATTCAGCTTAGTAGAACCCCTGCCCCACTACACATACAGCTGAATGGTTCTGTCCTGAATCAAGCTAGGCAGTTTAAATATCTAGGAAGTATGCTCACAGAATATGGTAGAATTGACAGAGAAATAGAAACCAGATGTCAGAAAGCAAGTGCACAGAAAGCAAGTGCACACGTGCACTAAAATACCAAATCAAGAAACAGCAGATCAAGTGGTTGGGCCATCTCGTTAGAATGCAGCTAGATCAAATACCATCACAAGCACTACATCTCAGAAGATCAGCTACAAGAGCAAAAGGACGGCCACAGAAGACATGGATCAACAACATTAAAGACACTCTATGCCTTCACGACATGACAATAGCCAGTGGCAGCCAACGTGCACTGGATCGCAAATTATTCCTCCCCACGACCCTTAACGGCAGAATTGGTTTATGATGGTGATGATGATGAGAATCATAAACAAGCCCCTAAACACTGGGCAGGCACAAACAGAACCAATGGCACCAACTAGGCTTGACAGGAAGTGGCCAGTGCAGCAGTGCTGATATATAGACTGCTGGAATTTGTAACAAATAGTAATGCTAAATTATTGGCAACTTGGGGCAATAGGTTTTGTATGTGTGTGCCATAATTTAAAATAATTTGAATTTTTAAAAGTTTAAACAATTTCTTTACTCAGGTCTCAACACAGATCACTTGATACAAGTCACATATGAGACATTTGGTCCTGACTCTGAGTATGAAAACAGGGTGACAAACCAATATGTTGTAGGAGAAGAAAAGATAGGTGAGTAATACACAGGGTTTGATGAGATTGGTAATGAAAATAATTGTTTTTAAAGAAAGAAAGCAGAGGCATGTAAATCATTTTAGTCACATTAAAAGACTAAGCACTCATTTAAAAATGATACTGGGAGAAGTTAAACATAGATGATCAAGGGCCAGATAGTTATAAATATAAAGATAATTAAGAGGTGGACGAATAGCAGTCTGATTACGTGTATAGCCAGGACAAGAAACAGAGTGTTGGAGGTCCGTTACAGCTAACCTTTATTGGGAAGAGGGCACAGGATTGATTGATTAGTGAAAAACTTAGATGAACTCTGTCATTTGTCAGGTTGAGATATTTATGGTAACAGTAAATGGCAGCCAACCTTCATTGTGACATTGGTCTTTGATATACATATATATATATGCTAGCAGTAATAATAATATAATAATGTAAAAAGCCCTTGTTTACACCTTAAGGTCTGTTGGTTGTTTTTATAGACATATTGGCACTTGATTCAAGGGACTTTCTTTATTTAATTGCATCCCTAATTTACACAGATGTACAAGTTATGATAAAATTGACCGCCATTTGTGTTCCTCTTCTCTCTCTCACTTCTCGAGAACAGATTATTGCAGAAATGGCCATTTATGGGGCTGTATCACAACCAGAAGTGACTACATTTAGCCTTCCCTGAATGATAGGGTTAAAGCAACAGATTTAAACATTCACACTACATGCACGTATGGAGAGGGAAGTGGGGTGATATTAACATGACATTACAGCAGTTGTTATTTTTTGTTGTACAATTTCTCCACCAGATCTGAAACCTACTCTCCCTATTCATGCTCCCTGGCGTCATGGCTGTGTCAAGGACTTTCTGAAGAATCTTCAACAAAATAAAAGCCCGCCAGGTAAGAAGACAGTCAGTCCACAAACATCTGTGCAGCAAAAAAAAAAAAGATGTGTCTGTTTGTCTCCATTCATGTCAGATTTGTCCATTTTTAATTGTATATATGTATATACTGTATATATAATAATATCTAATAATGTTATCCAAAAGCACAGTGAAGATCAAAATCAATTCTTGAATTTAGAGAAAACAAAAATAAAGTCCACAGATAAAACTGGCTGTCACACAAAAATAACAATAAATGATGAAGAAACTGAAAATGTCACAAACTTTGAATACCTAGGCTCTGTAATAAACAAAAATGGAGACTGTTCGACAGAAATTAAAAGGAGGATGGCCATAACAATGCAAAGATTGAACAGCCTTAAAAGTCTATTGTTAAGCACCAGCAAGGAGATGAAAGTTATAATTTTGAGAGCATGCATCTTTCCTGTGGTTACATACAGATGTGAGTCGTGGACTATCTTTCAGTCCTTAAGAAAGAGAATAGGGGCTTTTGAGCTGAAATGCTATAGAAAGATTCTCAGAATATCTTGGACAAAGAAGATGAGAAATATTGACATCTTAAAAGATTTGAACATCAAGGAAGATTGGCTAATAACAGCATCCTTTCTCGAAAGCTGAAATAGTTTGTCATATCAAGCGCCACAACGGTTTGGAAAAAATTATAGCAGAAGGCATGGTACCAGGAAGGAGGGGCAGGGGCAGGGGCTAACCGACACGAAGATGGCCACAAGTGACTCCTTGAGTGTGAAAGTGCATGAGGTGGGAGAACTGGCGAGAGACCGAGTTTCTTTCAGGCAGACTGTGATGAGAGCGACGTTCTGCAAAGGACCTGCTACATGATGATAATAATAACAGCACTGGAAAGGAAGACTTACCTAGCATATCCATGAAGAGTATAAATGTTGAAAGAAGAGATAAGTTAAAATACTTAGGTTTGACGTTTGATCGCAGTCTGTCCTACAGATATCACATGGAGCAGACTGTTATCAAATACAAGCACGGCCTGGCGGCTTTAAGACGATGGTAGCAACACACATGGGACAGAGATTGGTGTTATTGTTCAACTATTTGGTCCTTTCAGTAATTGAATATGGCCTAGAAATAAAAACCCTATCTACTTCACAGTTTACAAAGCTTGAAAGAATTTGAAAATGAAGGAATGAGACTTGTCTTGGGTTGCGTACAAGGTACACCAATTAGAACAATGAGGTATCATCTTGGGCTGACATCTGTAAAGTCGAGACTGACACTGGCGCAAGCTAAGGCTTATATGTGAGTGACCAAAGATGAAAGACTTCTGCTGCATGGTAGTCTGAATGATTTTAGATGAGGCCGGTTGAAAAGAGGAAAGTCAAGGATGGCACTAGCTGAAGATACCATCGAGACGGCGGCCCCAGTCGAACAAATACACAGGGGCAGGAATGGGTCGAGACAAACACCCACAATAGCAGTTTCCATTGGGTCATTATTACATTAGGAAGAGAATGTAGAGAGTTGTGTAACGGTATGGCAGAATTAGAGGTACAACAACTGATAGATGGAAAGGCTTGGCTAGATGATGCAGTGTGTACACCGATGGTTCTGTTCATTGTGGTTTAAGATCTGGCTGGGAATTTTCAGCTAGAATGAAGGGAAAGATTGTGGCAGAACAAAATGGAGCTTTTTGTCTACAACTTCAAGCATAAGAATGGCAGTGGAAGCAATCACTGCAGCTCTGATTTGGATAACAGAAAACAGAGTTACCAGAGATATTATTGTGTCTGACACTCAGTTGGTGCTGCGGAAGGTTCAAAAGGGACTTATGTGGCATGAGTGGATACCATGCATCAGTATGCCAACATTGAAGGGAATCACCTGCATAAACTGTCCAGGGTATGCAGAAGTGCGAGGGAATGAAAGAGCAAATCTTCTGGCTAAAAAAGCGAAAGCTACAGGAACACTCATACTGGACAAGGGAGATATTCTGAAGACTATATATGAATGACTGTTGACAGAAGAATTGAGATTAGATGAAATAACATGTGCAAGAATGTGTGAAAGAGGAATTAAGTGTGGATTTGGCAAGGAGGGACAGATGAGAGGAAAAGAAGTACGATTGTATAATCAGTGTGCTACGGGAACAGTTAGCATCTGCACCTTAAGACATTTTCTGCGGGAGACAGAGCATCTATAGGTATGCCTGGTGTGCTATGATATTTATTCTTAAATCAGTAATCACTAAATCTCTACCAAGCTGTTTAATATCATTTTGAGAGGCCAGTAGATCCTGTTATGATTCTTTAATTATCTTTAGGCTCCTTAAATGATGATCAAATAGACTGTGCCATCAGGATTATCCCTGTTGTGGCTCTGTATGCTGGACACCCAGACCTGCTGGTCAAAGTGGAGGAGGCTCTGAGAGTCCTGCAGGACTGTGACTTACCTGTTGCAGTAGGTTTGGCAATGGCAAGGTAATTAGGACAGTTCAATGAGTTATTCGTATGTTGTCTTCTTCTTCTTATTAGTATTCTTCACCTTCCGCCTCTTCTGCATCCTCCTCAGTTTATATCCAATGAAGTATAGACCATCAGCCAACTTGTGTCAAGTCATCAAATCCTGTTATATCTCAATTCTCACCTCCATGTGTTTGTACTTACCTGGATATTGTCCACTTGCTTACATTAAGTTAATCATTTAGCCGCAGTTTGATCTTCACAGGAGATTGGTTATCCCCATCCATGGATTCCATTCCTTTACCCATAAAAACCACACAGTGTCCATTGCTGTCCATTGTAACGCAACTAGACTGCAATATCTGCAAAGCCACTAGCATACACACACATTAAATCATAAGACAGCCTACAGAAATTCCACTGAAAACAGTATGTCATGAGAGAATACAGGTGTAGCAAAGAGATGTGGCTCAATGCAGCAGTTTTTGCCTGTGAAGTATATGAGGGTTTTCAGATGAGAGAAGAGACATGTGCAGCTGCACTAGACTTAGAGGATGTGTACAGCAGAGTACTTTAATTTGAATACTTGGTGCAAATACTTCTCCAACTAGAAGGATCTGCCTTCATCACCCGCTGGCTAATTACAGAACTGTTCCAGAAACAGGGTGATACTCAGGTGTGGTTGTTGGTCCTCAGAGCCGATAACCATCAGCCCCAGATTGGCTGAAGGTTCTCCACTGTCCCCAGTTCAATTCAATGTGTATCCAGTGCTGAAAACTGAGCAGTAGTTGCATGGGAATGGCAGTACTTTGTCATTTGCTGATGATGTCTTGGTATACCAACATGGATGAGATCATCAAGAGATTGCCAGTTCAGTGCAGATTGAGCTTGATCACATGTCGCATCTCCACATGAAATCTCCAACTTATGGTATTACGACATGCATTCAGCTCAATAGTTGGGTGAAGAAACTATATATGTTCAATCCACATGTGGGAAAAAATGCAATGGCTACCATAACCACAAGCAGATAACTTGCCAAACCTAAGACAGTCTGCCTGCCTGTCCACTATATTAGACCATCATCATCATCATGTAGCACATGTAGCAGGTCCTTTGCAGAACGTCGCTCTCATTACAGTCTGCCTGTAAGAAACTCGGTCTCTTGCCAGCTCTCCCGCCTCATGAACCTTCACACTCAAGGAGTCACTTATATCCTGTGCCCATCTTCGTGTCGGTCGGCCTCTGCCCCTCCTTCCTGGTACCATGCCTTCTGCTATAATTTTTTCCAATCCGTTGTGGCACTTGATATTAGACCGGATACATCATAAAAATTGAAATCTTTATTCCGTGCAATAGTCTAATCTATGCTCAAATTCAGTGATATTCAGTAATAAATAATGACAAGTTTTTGTTAGGTATAGTTGCTTCCATCTAAATTCTACCTCTTATCCCGCATAAGCTCTGAACCTTTCACAACAAGCTGGAATATTGTCAGCCTGTACATATTCACCACTCACTTATCAAGGAAAATACAAGGGATTGTGGAGAGAATAAATCAACAGTAAACATTCATATGATCCCATCAGCATACTCAACAGAAAACAGGCTCAGCTACCACATGCATACAATAAAGACCACAGTCACCACATTGTGCATGTCAGATGGGGTCACAAACACCTGAATACATTTCACTAGAATAACTGACGTGCAAGTTCATAGAGGTGGACAACCTAATTATCTGACCTGATCATGTAAAACCAAGCACCAAAAAGAAGAGGAAGATGTTCACCACTGATTAAAAGTAAAGTAAAGGACCATTTTCCACACCTTTGGGAAATAGGGCTAGACCTATATTTTATAGACCAATCGGCACAAGATAGGTGATGTGGCCAGCATCACGCCGGCTGCCTTTACTTCCCAGGACTGCACCCGGTACCCACTCAAGGCTGGGTCAACCGAGGAGCCAAGGTCATTTTTGAAAAAAAAATTCCGGCTCTGCCAGAGGGCAAACCCACTACCTTCCAATCCGTAGTCGAGCATCTAGTCGCTCCGCCACGGTGACTCCCATTCACCTCTGAATAGTGGTCAGAAATAATTAATAGCAGTGTATTTTTTTTTTTTTTAAATGTATCTGCTTCTTCTTTTGCCCATATCCTCCATTGGAGCATAGGCCCCCAACTAACTCACACCAACCCTATATCCTTTGACACTTGGCGAAGGTATTACATTCACTGTAACAAGAGACAGTGTGATTATTTATTTCATTTAAAAGAATTCTGTTTTGTACCTCATTATCTGTTGATGTAATTCTATAGCAATGTACCAGATGAGATACAGTGGAATATGCCAGGCTAAAAATTGGAGATTATTCGTTAGTGTCTAAAAATGTAGCGCCCGTGGCTTAGGTGTTGCAAGTTGGACTCATAATTCCAACATACAGTGATCGAAACCCACTGCTGGCTGCTTGAGTTGTTATCACAGTATGGGGCGTCGCAGGTCGACCCAGCCCAAAATGGGTACCAAGATGCCTGTCCTGGGGAAGTAAAGACGCCCGGCGTAATGCTGACCACATTAACCACCTAGTGCCGATTGGTCTGTAAAAATATGGCATGCTCTTCCCATATACCCAATGCGCCTAAGACGTAAAAAGGGATCTTTACCCTTACTTTACTGACAATATTTAAATAACCACATTACTATCCCAAAAAATTCATAAAGGAAGAAGACTGGCTAATAAACAGCATCTTGTCTCAGAAGATGAAATGTTGTCATCGTCATCTTCATCATCAAGTGCCTTGCCAGGCGTTTATGCATCTCCACAGATCTCAGTCTTTGGTGTTCTGGATCAGTTCCACCGATGATACTCCTTCATGCCACTGTCTAAAGCGCCACGGCGGATTGAAAAAAAAAAAACAGAAGGCATGGTACCAGGAAGATAGGCAGGGATCGACCAACTCAAAGGTGGGCACAGGATATAAGTGACTCCTTGAATATGAAAGTACATGAGGTGGGAGAGCTGGCGAGAAACCGAGTTTCTTTCAGGCAGACCGTGACGACAGCGACATTCTGCAAAGGACCTGCTACATGATGATGATGATGTCTACATAATTTTAATTTCACCACAGGAAAACATTGTTTTAAATTTAAAAAGAGTGTTATAGGTTGTTTTTTTTAAATGTCTTTTTTCAGCTCTTCATTCCCAGTATTTTCAGAACCTCCTTAAAGACACAGTTTTTGTCATTAACCGACTGCACATCTTGTTCTGCTTACAGAGTACTAGAACAATATATATTGAATGGAGACCCAGAAGATGTCCTTACCACTGTTGTAGCTGCTCTTAGTGATCGCAGTCGCAGCAATCCCCAGGACCTCGACGTTGCAGTGAAGGGACAGATTAGACAAGTTATTCAAGCCAGAAAATTACCACACACTGAAGCTGTGTCAAATGTGTTCAAGAAAAACTGACGTAAGCAAAATTTGTGTAACTTCCTAGAAAACACAAGTGAAATATTTGTAACTTTTTAATGGAAACAAGTGAAATATTTGTAACTTTTTAATGGACAGAAGTGAAATATTTATAACTTGGTAATGCCCATAATTGAAATATTTGTAACTTCTTGATGGATATAAGTGAAGTATTTGTAACTTCTTAATGGACATAAGTGAAATAGTTATAAGTAAAGTAAAGGACCCTTTCCACGCCTTTAGGCGTATAGGGCATATAGGGCTAGACCTATATTTTTATAGACCAACGGCACAAGATGGGTGATGTGGTCAGCATCACGCCGGCCGCCTCTACTTCCCGGGATTGCACCCGGTACCCAAGGTCATTTTTGAAGGAAATAGTTATAACTTTAAAAAAAAAAACAAATTACTGCCTTTATTAATACCACTTTCGCCGTGTAGGCGAAAAGTCCCTGATCCTGAGGATTTACAGCTGCATAGCTAGTGCTGTTGCCATGAATGTGCATATGAGGATTTTATTTTGCCCCCAACAGAAAAAATCCCCAGCCTTACCGAGGATTCAAACCCAAATCTTCCACTTGGGAGCCCAGCGTTCTAACCGCTCGGCCAGCCTCTCCTCGTTATAACTTGGTAACTTTGTATTTCTAACTTCTTGATGAACATAAGTAAAGTATTTGTAACTTCCTGGTGGACATAAGTGAAATATTTGTAACTTCTTAAAAGACATAAACGAAATATTTGTAACTCCTAACAGACATAATGGAAATATTTCTAACTTCTTCACAAAAATCAGTGAATAATGGCCATAGTCCAGCAGCGGACGAACAACCATAACTTTCTGCCAGAGTTTACTGCCGGTGTACGCTAAGAAGAAGATTAACTAAATAACTGTAGAGACTGAGAAAAAAAAATTTTGTGATTGAAGAGCCAGAGGCAGACAAAAAAAATTATTTTAGATGCTCTAAGACAACGACTTGCAGGAATATCATCGCTTAAATATATTCAATGCACCAAAACCAAGATCTGTGACGACTAAATTGTCTCTGCCATCTGTGCAGTTCGGAATCTGTGCCTTCTTCTTTGTTCGCCGGCTGTAAGCTCGGGTGGAAAGTCCTGGCTGTTGTCCATTTTGACATTGGTTTTGTGCCAGGGCCTGAATTTTGCATACTTGCATGTATATCCCTTTTACTGGCTTATTTGTGTGCATTTGGTTGTTTCTTGCTCAAAACCTGAACCATATAACAAGGCTCATAATGACCTAAATGCTAAGCTGTCAAGAAAGGCATGTTGTTGTTGTTGTTATTGATCCAGCGGCGCATGAGCTTTCGCCCTTTAGCCCAATGCCATGTAGTGGAATTTAAATGTTTTCACAAGCTGTTCTTTTCCTCCGTACAGGGTGTTTCACCTGTCTGGTCTCGGAGGGAGTAGCGTTCTTCTAGTCTCGTTGAGTTTTGGGCACTCAAAGAGATGATGGTCAGCAGTTTTGTAGGGGTAGTTACATAGCTGGCACTCTGGGGAGTGTTGTGGCTGTATTCTGTTTAGGTGTCCATTGAGTGGAGTATGTTGTGTTCTAAGTCTGAAGATGGTGGCCTGGTCCCTTCATGTTAAATGGTTAATGCTGTCGTTAGAATCAGGGCTAGCCATGTCTATAAACCTCTCTTCCAGTATCTCCCATTGCCCATCTGTTCAGCCAAGTCTCTTTGTTTATAGCTGTCAAGAAAGGCATAGAGCAAAGTAAATGCCTGTGCCATCTAGCACTGCACATAAAGGACCCTTTTCCCACGCCTTTCAGGTGTATTGGCTATATAGGGCTAGACCTATATTTTATAGACCAAACCGCACTTGGTGGCTGATGTGGCCTTTTAGCACTGCATAAAGTGAAATAAATGCCAGTGCAGTCTAGCAAGGTACATAGTGACATCAATACAGATGCCATCTAGCAAGGCAGATGACAACATAAATGACTATTCCATCTAGCATCTGTACAGTCTGGTACTTATGCCATTTGTCGATGTACAGGCATGTAACGATTCAAGACACAGGCATGTAACGATTCGAGACACAGGCATGTAACGATTCGAGACACAGGCATGTAACGATTCAAGACACAAGCATGTAACGATTCGAGACACAGGCATGTAACGATTCAAGACACAAGCATGTAACGATTCAAGACACAAGCATGTAATGATTCGAGACACTGGCATGTAATGATTCGAGACACTGGCATGTAATGATTCGAGACACAAGCATGTAACGATTCGAGACACTGGCATGTAATGATTCGAGACACTGGCATGTAATGATTCGAGACACTGGCATGTAATGATTCGAGACACTGGCATGTAATGATTCGAGACACAAGCATGTAATGATTCGAGACACAAGCATGTAATGATTCGAGACACTGGCATGTAATGATTCGAGACACTGGCATGTAATGATTCGAGACACTGGCATGTAATGATTCGAGACACTGGCATGTAATGATTCGAGACACTGGCATGTAATGATTCGAGACACATGCATGTAACGATTCGAGACACTGGCATGTAATGATTCGAGACACTGGCATGTAATGATTCGAGACACAGGCATGTAATGATTCGAGACACTGGCATGTAATGATTCGAGACACTGGCATGTAATGATTCGAGACACTGGCATGTAATGATTCGAGACACAGGCATTTAATGATTCGAGACACAGGCATGTAACAATTCAAGACACAAGCATGTAACGATTCGAGACACAGGCATGTAACAATTCAAGACACAAGCATGTAACGATTCGAGACACAGGCATGTAACGATATTGTTAAACATGGGCTATATTTATAGGTTTTTTTTTTTTCATCCAGATTTGCCTGAAGCAATGCAGTCAACCCTGCATGGCTTGATCACAGCGACCGGCTACGTTGATGGCATTCGCTCCACCATAAAGGCTGGAGGGTGTAACGCCTCGCGTAGTGGTTTTATCGGTGCTTGTATGGCTGCAAAGGTTAGACATATGACATATTTGCAGTTGTTTTATATAGATATGATGACAGGCACCTTTCTGTTTTTCCAGGCGATAGGTTATATTGCGCTATGAGATGGCATGGAACTCATAGCCCATGGTGGTGGCGAGTGTGATTAGCAAGACCTCCTGGGTTAAGAAAAGTCTTTATGGGATTTCAGGACAATTGTTGTCAACATTTCTGTTTAGTGTGTTTCTTCTCAAACTTCTCCGATGTTACACCATCAAAGTTGATTGTACCTTTCATACCTGTTTTGTTACCAGGGTAGTTAGCATCCTTTAGATATTTTCTCCAGATAGGCTCGTGTCTTGGGAAATGAGCAGGCAGTTAGACTGGCCGGCACTTGGTGGTGAATTGATGTATGACAGGCTACATATTGTAATGAGTGAGCAGTGAGGAGGCGTAGATAGATCATTGCGGTCTGAGGAGAATGGCCCTGCAAGGAGTTACCAGGAGATCGGATCTGGCCGACACTCATGGGAGGGATGAGGCGGATATACAATCAGATGGTTACTGGTGCCATCAGAATTGGAACTCTTCACTTGCTGCTGAAGATGGGCACGGAGCACTTATGGGAGTGTGCCGAGTGCTGTGATGTTGATTCTTAATTCAACATTCAACATATCTGTGTGGTACGACTCAGTAATGCTTAGTAGGGTAGGTGGACACCCGGTCTTCTTCAGTGTTTTGAACAGACCTTTTCGACTAATCAGATCAAATGCCTTTGTAAGATCAATTGAAACCAACATACAGTGGCTGATTTTGTTTACGGCATTCTTTCTGTAACTGTCGTAATAAAAATATATCGGTGGTAGACCGGTTCCCACGAAAGCCACACTGTAACTCTGAGTAAACCTTGTCTCCTAGGATCTGGAGTCTTCACACAACAATTCTTGCAAGTGCTTTTCTAATAGTACACAGCAGTGAAATTCCCCTGTAGTTATTGCAGTCACTTTGATAACCGTTTTTCTTGTACATATTTTTGATGCTTGAGTCTTTGAAGTCTTGCAGAACCTGTCCCTCTCACCAGCAGAGTGTTTTTAGCTGATGAATGTGGTGGGGGGGTTAGAATGTCTTTTCCACTCCTGGTGATCACAGTAGGAATTCCATCTCTGCCTGGGGCTTTCCCAGAGGATGCTACCAACTCTTGACTATCTGGATGCATTTCCAATAATTGTAGAAGTTAGAGATGCTATTGGTGAACTGGCATGAAGGGGTCAAAGAGGAAGTGAAGAAGGAAAAGACAAAAGTTCATAATTTGCTGCATTTTGCAGCCAAAGTTTTTACGGGATGAGATAGCCAGCCTCATGCCAACTCTTCCTAATGGCCTCTTGACATGATTGGAAGGTGAACGTTTTATTATTATGAGCTTCTCTCCTAGACACTGGCAATTATGAAGGGAAAATACCAGGAATTGTGGAGAGAACAAACTAACAGTAAACAGCCACAAGACCCCATCAGCAAACCCAACAGAAAGCAACATACAACAGTTTTCGGTCTATGAACAGGACACTGCAGGCTCAACTATAAGATGCATAAAATAAAGGTTTTACAGTCCCCACAGTGTGTCTGTCAAACAGGACCACAAACACCTGAGCACATTCTGCAGACCTGCCCCCTCTACATACAACTTCGAAAAGACACCTGGCCTCAAAAGCAAAGCAAGCTATAGGGAACCATGAAGGATCTGCTACTTACATGCGAGTTCATAGAGGCAAACCATCTGATGGTCTGATCTGAGCAACGAAACCGGACACAAAGAAGAAGTAGACAGAAGAAGAAAAAGACACTGGCAACACACAGGCAATTGAACCATCAGAAATGCCAAGCTGGGCAGCTTAAAAAAAGATTTTTTTTTAACAAAACAATACAAACTGTCTGTCTATACTGTCCATGTTCACCATCGGCTATTGAGCCTGAGGTTTTAAGGTTAGCTGGCTAGTGCAGTCACTGTAAACTGATATTAGGATGTTTATGGTTTCAGTAGAAAAAACTTCCATCGCCTTACTGAGGATTTGAACCCAGGTCTGGCATATGAGAGACCAGTATTCTTGCCACTTGCTGAGTTGCTCCTGTTAAGAGAATATAACACTGTTTGGAGAAAAGGTCTCCTGATGAAGATGATGAGCATAGGAATACATGGCAGATTGTATAACTGGGCGAAATACTTTCTGATAGATAGAACAATCCAGACTAAGATGCACAACACAATCTCTTCTAAAGAAGTCTTGGAGGAGGGCTTGCCACAAGGCTCATCATTGAGCTGTACACTGTTCCTAATCTTTATCAATGACCTGCCAGAACAAATCAAGGCCGAAAAATCCTTGTACGCTGATGACCTAGCAATATGGCAGAGTCATGAAAATGTGGAAAGTGGAGCCCAAAGACTGAATGGAGACCTAAGAAGACTGCATGAGTACTGCCAAAAATAGAAACTCAAGGTTAACTGTGCAAAGACGGTCTACACAATCTTTGCCAAAAGCCACCAAATAGCAAGGAAGAATATTAACCTGAGGTTCGACAAACACCAAGTGATGAAAGAAGAGCATCCCACATACCTTGGAGTCACACTTGACCAGCAGCTCAGCCTCAAGAACCATATTGAAAACGTCAGGAATAAGGCATTGAGGCGGTTACAGTTATTAAAGAGACTTGCAGGTACATCATGGGGATCAGACAAGGAAACTCTGAGGGGCTTGTATCTAGGATATGTTCGCTCTGTGATAGAGTACAACAACTCACTGCTTACAACTTGCTCCAAAAGTAACCTAGAGACTCTTGACAGAGTACAAAATAATGCCCTCCGATTAATCTGCGGAGCTATGCAGTCTACACCAACTGCTGCATGTGAAATCCATACAAATGTGGAACCCCTCGGGTTGCGGAGAGAAAAGGCCACTTTAGAAATTTATGAAAGATGCGTTAGGAAAAGTCGTAACCATCCTAATAGACATCTTGTAGAAAACTGGGAATACAAACAAAGAATAAAGCACAAATCGGTTTTACACTGTGTTAATGAAATTCAGGACAGATACCACCTCCCAGAAAGACGTCAAGGAATTCAGAATGTTGCAAGAAACCTACCACCACATGCTCGCTTTTAAGCTCCAGAAGTCTGAATTAAATTGGTAGGCGAGGAAACCAAACAGTCCGACCCAATCGCTCTTATGAACTCATCACTAAAGACCGTTGATTCTTACCCCCAAGAATGGATACATGTCTATACTGATGGTTCAGCATTTAAAGCTACCATTAAAGCAGGTTACGGAATTTACATAGGTTATCCCGATGGATCTGTTGAAGAGATTTTTGATGCATGCGGGAAATTCTGTTCAAATTATGAAGCTGAAATAATTGCACTGGAAACAGCAGTATACCACCTAAAGACTAATGGATGTTTACCCTTCAAAGGTCCAAAATATTGTCATCTTCACAGATTCAATGTCTGCCCTTCAAGCTCTGGAGGGCAGTGAATGCTGCAGAACTGACATAGCCAAGATAATCCTGGATGCTGATCAGCTTATTACCTCATACAACATCATAATAGTGATGCAGTGGATTCCAGGTCACTCCAGCACACCAGGTAATGACAGAGCTGACAGATTGGCAAAGAAAGGAGCAACACAAGAACAACCACCTACAGTGACAACCCTCCAGACAGCAAAAACACTTATAAGAGCTATAAACAAAGAGACTTGGTTGAACAGATGGGCCATGGGGGACACTGGAAGAGAGGTTTATAGACATATGGCTGGCCCTGATCCTAATGACAGCATTAACCATCTAACAAGAAGGGACCAGGCCACCATCTTCAGACTTAGAACGCAACATACTCCACTCAATGGACATTTAAACAGAATACAGCCACAACACTCCCCAGAGTGCCAGCTATGTAACTACCCCTACGAAACTGTTGAACACCATCTCTTTGAGGGCCCAAAACTCAGTGAGACAAGAAGAACGCTACTCCCTCCGAGACCAGACAAGTGGAACACCTTGTACGGAGGAAAAGAACAGCTTGTGAAAACATGCAAATTCCACTACATGGCATTGGGTCAAAGGGCGAAAGCTCATGCGCCGCTGGATCGATAACAACAACAACAACAACAAGCCTTATTGCAGGTTTTTGAAAACAGAGTCTTATGACGAATCTTTGAACCCATCAAAGAGGCAAACAGTGGTGAATGGAGAGTGAGAAGCAACAATGAAATTCATAATCTGTTTAAATCACCACTGATCACTGGCATCATGACAGTTAATAGACT